ACAGCTGCGGCCAAGACCACCACAGAGGCTTTTGTTGCAAAGTTGGCCTGACTCGGGATTGGTAACAGAATGCAGGTTGGTGCACGTCACTTACTGTTAATTAGACTTAAAGGAGTTGGCCACGAGTCGCTAGGTGGCTGGCTCCGACGATCAAGACACGATCGGCAATCTCACTGTCTTGTAAACCCAGCGATGACGGCACGTGCGACATGCAAGATAGGATCTTGCGTGACACGATCAGCCAATCGTCACAAACATTGACAACTTGGTCCAGTTATGGCAGGAGAGCGACGCGGTGCACAAAAACCCTCGTAGAAACATGGGACAAGCCCTGCCCTGGAGTGCCTGCGGTGCGACACCCACGGAGGTGCTGGTACCAAGGGCTGTGAGAGGCGGCGGGGCAGTCCTGAAACTGTATTCTGCAAAAAAAAATCAGGGGCACCTCCGGCACACTCAAGGCGAGGAGCTCCGTTAAAGAGTGCATCCAAGTCGGGAGTTCTCTAAATTAGTGTCCCATGTGGGGTCCTGCTTGTGCCGGTGCTGTACTATGTGTGAGACCCAAAATGGGACCCTAGTTTCGAAAACTACCCAAGTCTCGTTCAGCTTCGATTTTTTATCACCTCTTTTCCTTCGCCTGATAAGGTGTCCGGAATACCATGTTGGTGGAGGCATGACCATGGGAGCCAAGCATGTTTTGCAGGGGATTCACCCACCATTACCACTAAATATCCCATAACTAGCGGACTTGCCAGCTCCCAGCCCAAGGTGCTGCAAAGGCATGCGACGTGCTTAAAGTTTAGATGGGTTCTCCTCAAAATGTCTGGTATGCTTGGCACCCCAAGCCCTTGACTTCCCCAGATTCCCTGACCAATGCCATCATGTCACCGTGGTGGCTGCTCCGGTGTCAAAAATGCCAGGTCAGCCGTGGAACCTGGAGTGATAAGTTGAGATATCCGGGTCTTCAAACTTACTTCATGGGTGCGCCCCACCAGCGGGCCCACATGTAAGCAACTTCGATGCAGAATTAGTGGAGCCAAGGACAGCAATACTGTTTTACTGCTTCAAAGGAGCCTGCTCTGTGCTCCCCTTAGTCGCACCCGGGTGTCTGCAAGGAGGCTGACTTTGGCCTTGAACCCTAGCTCCGAGATGTCAGGCTCGAACAGGCTTGAAGAACATGGTCAGAAACGTGAATCGTTGTCAGGGCTCCGGCCTGCCATTGTGTGCCGGTCAACGACGTTCCCAGGAAAGCTTGCCGCAAAGTTTATACTGTGCAAGACTTCTCAGATATTTGCCATGCACATCTAGCAGTCGTTGATATCACGCACTTCTTTACAACGTATGTCAGCTCATGTGGCCTGACTAATCATGCTGTTGAGCCAGATATGCCGAGCATGCCTTCTGGTCGTCCAGGTTACGCAGTGTCGCTCAAGCTTTTGCAAACGGTGGGCTTTGTGGAACCTGCTAGAACGAGATAACAGCCAGCATCCTCAGTGCTTATCCAACAAAGCACCATAATTCCGAAATACTGTTCTTTAGCTGTAGAAAACCATGCAGCTTGGTTTGGTCCTGGTAGCAGAGCTTGAAATCGCCTCAACCTTGAGCGCTCTTTCGAACGGCCTTCATAAATAAACTCATCGCGCAGTGTGGAGGCGTGACCATCGGATGAGTGTTGAAACGACTGGGTTCGAACGGCTGAGCTCGGCTTGAGCCTCAGTCCTCACAGCCCCGCAAAGCCTTTCGCCTGCAAACTGTCGGGCTGCGGACAAATGTGCAAAACAAGGAGGATCCCCGAAAGCCCACAGCCCACAGGATGGTTTTCTGAATGGGCCTACCCGGCTCGGAATTTGTGTTCCTAAATCTCCGCCTCGGAATTACGCTCTGGCAGATTGCTGGAACCATGTAGGTGCGCAAAGCGGAACAGCTGAGAAATCTTTCGCTCTGGCTCAAGAGGCAGTCCGTGGCTGTTCCAGCTTGATGACGGTACTGGGTACACAGTTCCATGAAGCCGCTGCCTGCGTCCCGCTCAGATCTTGATGATGTGCTGATCCTGGAGCTCGGGGACATACTGTGCACATGCCAGGCAGGAAACATGGCAACGTGGGCGAATACTTTCAGCACGCAGTGCTGAATCGTAAAAACCACGGGTTTTGAGCTTGATTTGTCGGCTGATTCGTAGGGTCATGGGGCCTCGGCCATGCCTTTGTGAGGTTCAACAGCCTCAGAGGGAAGTGGCAGTCTGCAAGCAGGCAAGCCTGCAATGCCCAAGACCGGCTACCTCTTGGTCAACACCTGCGAGCCAAAACAACTGAACTGAACGCCTCACCTTTTTCCGGCTGCGCCGAAACCTTCACGGAACTGCACGGCGACAGCAACCCGGCATGTGTGGGCCATTTCCCCGCCCAGAGTCTTCTGAGCATGCATTGAGTACTGCATGAGGATCGCTCGTCACCTCCGCCTGTCTCATCACCCTTGCATGAAAGCTCTCACGTCGAGGCAATCACCCACACTTTCGCATCTGAGCACACACTCTGCCGAAATGCCAAGCTGCAAGGCTCATGCTAAAACAGAAACTTCGAATCAAAGAAGAAAATACATCGGCATCGAGAAGGCTGTGGCTTTCTGTCTGTTTTTCCTTCTGCACGCTTGACCCTTTCCGAAATGGGCGATGCTGTGGCGGAGTAGCACTTAGAAAACCGGGCATCGAGGAAACTCTACTAACAATTTCTGTACTTTTACTGCCTTTGCTTCACTTGCGAGCAAGCCACGTACTGGCCAAGTCTGTTGAGGAGTTGTCAAAATTATGACCGTAGTTATTGTGACTACGACTGTAATGATTATGATGTGTGTTAAGATTCGCATGTTCTTGCTATTCAAATCAGTATTACAAGAATGGTTTCTACCGGTGCAGATTCTCCAAGGTCAAGCTGGCCCTAAAGCCTCAAGCCTGGGCCTTGACCCCTGGTCCCAGAACGCCAGCGCCTCCTAGCAGTGCCAGATTCAGTAAGAATACTGTTGAAATGAAAGAGGCTCGCAACGGTGTGAGCACGACTTGGTCTGTTCCGAGTTCCCGCTGCTTCCTTTCGATCTCTCTGAGTATCTCTTAGTTTGGGAGGTCGGAAAACCCCGTCTTCTTCTCCAGAAGCCGAAGCTTTCACAACCTGTCTCGGCCCACTGGAAATGGTCTCTCCACGGGTTCAAAATGACTTCATGTCACATAAACGTCTCCGGTAAATGCAGCCGGCACTTCACCTGGTGAGGAAAGGACCCGTGGCGGCGCCCGACTGCTTAGGTTCCTCAGTGACCCTGAGATGCTCGGCTAGAGAGGGTGTCATTTGCGAAAGCACTTTCAGGAGTTTGCAGGTAGCAGCCTGCCAACCTTCGTGCGCCATGCGCATCTCCGACCCTTACTGAGGGACCAGTTCCGACCAGCTGCTCAGCAGCATCATGCATCAGACTTTTAAACGGGAATTTATAAAATATTCCGGAAGCTAAATCCAAATACGCTTGTGATTCTGCCCCGGACAATGCGAATACCATTCCCTGAAAAGCCGCAGTGATTGCAGCTCCTCTGGCACTCGAGGAAGGTCGGGCCCGTACAGCAGGCGGTCTCCACAAGGCATCCACTTGTCCGACATCGCTGGTACATGCTCGTGACGCGTCGGGCTAGCTTGTGGTAGTGCTGTCCTGCTATGTGCCTTATGATGCGGTGCCTTGCGGGATCCTGCATTCTGGCTAGAGAATCTCGACTGGATTCAATGCTGGCCCAGGCAAGCTATAAAGTCTTCGATAAACAGGCACGGGAAGATAGGCAGCATCTACCATTTTGTCTGAGGTGCGCTGAGGACACAAGAACCCAATTCGAAGAGGCAGCTCCTTTGGACCCTTTCAGACCTCGACTCATCCAAACCCCCCGCTGAGGATCCTCCCATGCAATGCCTTGAGAGCTGTTGCTAAAGCATGCAACGCATGGGCCATCAAGCAAGCTCAAAGCTCGTGTGACATCGGGCAAAGGCGTCAACAGCTGCACGGCATGCGTGGTATCTATAGTAACACGCAGGATTTACGAGCTTCGGCTGAACCGAGAGGCCATTCTTAAACTGGGTGAGACTTGAAATGACTAGCCGGTTGAAATTGGAAGGGTCCGACTTTACGAATCTACGAGTGCTCATTCTTCTGGCCTCTCATGGCACCGCTGCCGTCCAGTGGGTGAAGGACGCGCGTCTTGCCGCTACCACAGTCTGGAACTCCCTTGGGTGACTCTCAACGTCCTCGAGGTACTCGTTTAGCTTCTTGACCTTGGTTCTGTGAGTGAGCAACGACACTTTCTGAGTAGACAGCTGGTTCGGATTTGACTGCAAACAAAGTCACGTAGAGTTCGTGCGTTCCAAAGTCCGGTGCCCTGACGGCTCGGGGCAAAGGAAGGACCTTTGATGACGTCACCGTTCCTCGAGCAGCCAGGACTGGGTCCACGGTAGAGCTGGATGTGCATCCCATAGCTTGAGAAGCGTACAATGTGCAAAGAAAGTCACTCGACTTGATCCATAAACTGGCAGAGAAGCCTCAGCAGCCAGCTGTTGTTCTACTTGTTCTTAGGGTTCTCATTGTCTGGGCACATCTTTCACGACATCTTTCTTCGGCTGAGCAGGTGACGCACTACGGACAAGGATTTGTGGCTCTGCACAGGCTACATACAGATGTCCTGATATTTCCCTCAATACTTCCAACGTTTCCATACCCGAATCTGTTCGAGCTTGCTGCACACCCTTGGAGGAACACATTCGTATTGAAAGGGTGCCATTTCGGGATGAATCGCTCACTCCCCGAGGTCACACTATGCAAGCTCGAACCCTGTGTGATGTCCACTGTTACGATAGACCAGGTGGAGGCATAGCGTTAAAGGTCGGAGTGGCTTCCTTGTTGACAGTTTCTTTTTTGTGGTGCTCGCAGGCTCGCAGCCTGTGTGTCCCTGATCCTTTTAAGTCCGTTCCTTGCCGGCCGGTTCAAGGTACCCCTCCACGAGCCTCGCCAGTGACTGGCCGCGTTTGTGGGCCTCAACTCTCAGTCACTCCCAGTCAGTGCCGCAGAAGAACCGACGAGACTTCGAGTGACAGACCCCGATTTCTCGCTGAGTTGGTCGCGCGAAGCCGAGAAGACCCAGGCTGGGCAGAGCGAACACCTTCCGCACGCGAGCCACAGATAAAGTGTCGAATAGTCTCAAGATTCTCTCTGATTAGTCAGCGAGAGCACTTCTGATACTCAATTGAGGAAAGATCCTGCAAACCTCCACCTGCACCCGGGCAAGTACGCTTTTCACTGGTACTGCTGTTGGCAGGTCGGAGTAGAGACCTCTTGTCTCTGGAAGGTACATTTGCTCACTTCTGCACCTCAGAACGCACAGCACCTCCCAACCGCCCAAAAGCAAACTTCGCTAGGGTTTGCAAAGCCACCATTCAATCATTGCTGGAAGCCCCCGGCGTATGTGGAGGAACATTCTGTGTGCTTAATGTCAGCTTGAAGCATGTCAAACTTTGCTGGTGCCCTGGAAAGGCTAGGCAAGGTGGGGCTCAATATCAAGACCATCCGGGACATTACTCTGGTCCTGACATGACCCTGCGCAAGTTGACTCTCCGCTGCCTAGCCTGTACCAGAGGCTTGAAACGTCTCTACAAGCCAAGGGACTGCATCAGTGCTTCGGCAAAGGGGCCGAATTTCCCCCACTGAAGAGCGGCAACCGAACTGTGGGTGCGCTGAGGGTCCTTGGCTGGATGTGGAGTAACCAGAAAAGTCCAGACGCAATCGAAGCATGGAAAAACTCCACGAACACAGGCCTCTGACACTCCGCGATGCGATGCCAGCCAAGAGTCCAAACTGTCGGGGGAGCCGCCGCAGACTGCGTATAGCGCCATCCTAGCAGGAACACCACCCTCACATGAATTCGGACTTTTCAGAAACTCGACTTTCCCTTGAAAGCTGCTGGTTCCGTTGTGTGTTCCAGTTGGACACAGCTGATGAAGTATAGTGGATTTGTAAACAAGCGGTTGTTCATCAGATTCCAGCACTGGCTGCTTGCTCTTGCGCCCTTGAATCTCAGATTTCTTCGGGTGCAAAGAGTACACACGAAACAGAAATGGTACCAGAAAACATCCAGTCCATCGTCAGCCTCACGTGCTTGTGCATACAGACTTTGTTGCTGTGAATTGAGTTTCGCACGAAAGACTGCAATGTCGTCCAAGTGGCCATCCGAGGTTGATGTCCACGCCTGGATGAATGGCATGACTTTCGGAAACACTCAAACCGCGGTGTTCGTGCTGTGGCGTACTTTTGCCCGCGCCGCAAGGCCAGAATTTCCTCCTGCTCACCCGGCCTTCGGCGGCGCCGGGACAGGAGCCATCAAAGTCTTCGATGGGATCGAGCCGGCCGGCCTTTCTGATCTCGAAACCATTGAACCCATATTCTTCCAATCTCGCGTGCTTGCAACGAAGCAGGAGCAGTCGCATTTGTCGGCCAAGAGGCGCAACAGACGCGCTTTCGACGCGGGCCTCACCACGAAGAGCAGTTTCTACAGCGAAAGTTGCCTGGTGTTCCCCGCTTGCGCTTAGGGCGTCGGCCAGCTCTGCGGCGCCGTTGCCTGGACAGACTGTGCAAGCTCATGTCTTCGAGCGATTGGAAGCTGCGCCTCCGACAATGCCGACTCTTCTCTTTGTACAAGGTTGCAGTTCAAGCGACGCGAAACAGGATCCATCGGGGTGGAGGGGAACGCCATATCTAACGCTGCCAGACTGCTGGCAGTAGCATGGCGACTGCCCTCAGCGTCACTGGATTGCACCTGCAGAGTCACATGCACGTACTGGTAGCCGAGATGAGGCATGCGCTCTGGGTCCCAGAGCCCAAGCGCCTGCTCTGCGGCTGAGGCCCTGACCTGGGCCTTGACAGAGTTCGGTGTGGTCGGCTGCGTCGGATTTGGGGTCCGAATCTCCTGAATCAAAGGACACTGCAACATCCAGGGAAGACGAGTCTTGTCCAGTCCTTGACAGAGTCCTTCATCTCGCTCTGAATCTGCTGGATGGCACTGTCCGCAGTTTCTCGCCATTCCTGCTGTTCGCTGGAACTCTGGTTCTTGCTTGTAGCCTTCTGCCGTGTTAATAATTGCAGATGGTTTCTGTATCTCTGACTGCAGGATATGGAGCCGCAAAACGAGCTGGAGGTCAGCTTAGATGGAGCTGGCCCACCGCGCCACGGAGCAAAATCGGTGAAGCAACCCTTTGCGCGTGCGAATCACGGTAGGCACCTCTCACCTTCGGTGCTACGCTGCCTCTGGATGGGATAGTACGTCGGTATGCTGCCCTGCCGCGCCTCCATGACAGTCACACGAGGTTCAAGCAACCTTCGGGGCAGACACGTGATTCCCCTCTGATAGGCTGGTTTTCAAACGGGTTGCGATGGGGTGAGAGCGGTTTGGAAAGCTGTTTCGACTGCACCGATATCCCAAGACTTCTAAGTGAATTCTGGCAGCTGCTACGGGATCTTAGAGATCTAGACGGGTGGCTCATGCAAGGAGGAGATGCGCCGGGAGAGGTCACTGGTCTCATCCAGATTTCCTTGGTAGTCTGCGAATGCACGCCATGAGAAAAGGGACGAGCAAGGAAAGAGACGGGAGCGCTAAAGACGTGATCAGAGCCAGAACCGTCAGCGTCATGACTGCCCTCCCGTGCATGCATGTCAGCAACAGACGGTCAAGCTCCCAGACGCTCGGCAAAGCCCCGATGCGCGTGGATTTGGATCAGCTCGAGATCAAAAAATTAAGACAGTTGCAAGGTTCTTGACATTTCGTGACCATGTCGAAGCCGCAAGACACATACCAGGAATACTTCGTCATACTCCAGTCATGCCGGGCCCAGGCTGTGCAACGCCGGAAGGACAGAGTTTAGTGACAACTTCCTGCGAGGGGTACATGACGCCGCGCAGACCCACTGTGGGCAGCATCGATGAACCTTCTTACGGCCTTCGGCATCTGCGAATATTCTGTGCAATCCTCCTCTGGCGACGCCAGTGTTCGGCCGGGCTGCGACGATAACCCTCAACTCTCTCAATGATGCCCTTCTGCTGCGTCTCCATCTCAACCTGGCATCGGCGGAAGCTCGCCGTCACTTTGGGGACGGTGCTGCACTGCCTGTGTTTGTGAGAGGTGATCCATGACGGCATCCATCTTGGAGATCAAGTCCATGTTCACCTTCTCAAGCAGGCCTTGGCTTGGCTGTGCACTGTGCACTGCACATCCGTCTGCAGCCGGAGAGAAAAACTCCTCCGACTCCTTGCTTCCGAGGCTCCTTCCTCGAGCTTCTTCTCGACGCTTTCACGTATGGTCTCAGCCTTCCTGATGCTTTCGAAAAAAGGGTTCAAGCCACTGATCGTCTGGCATGATGCAAACTTTGAAAGGCACCCCCTTTTGGCTGAGCTGTTGCAGCTGTTGCATCTGTTGCGAGAAAGGCACTAAAAGTGAACCTGCCAGCCTCGTTACGGCAGAGACTATGTCAGAACGAAAGAGCCAGGCAGCGCAATCTGCGGCACAAGCGGCAAAAGCCGACAATTAGGTTCGCAACGGCCAAGCTTAGAGCTTAGGTCAGAAAGAAGCACTATGACTTGGCAGCAACGTCTTTTACGGCCCAGATTGGGTGAGCCGCCAAAACCGGCAGTGCGATTTCTTGTGGCTAGCAACCCACACCGAAGTCTGTGCTCATGGACTGTCTACAGCCTACATGATTCTTAATCCCCATCCCTTGTCCATGTAAGACCCGTTTGTGGAGCTGTCCCAGCCGTGGCCAGGCGATGCCAGGCGTCTGCGAGGATTTCTCCTCCGCGAGCAGAGCTCTGGACTCCAGAAGCTGGCGCAGAGAGGAAGCTTCCTTCTCCACGGCCTGGGCACCAGGCAGGAGCCGGGCTCATCCTTCAACCTTCCCGGCGCTGTGCCGCCAGCCTCGGAAATTTTCTTGTCCACGGCCTCTAACTGGGAATCCTGGGGCAGACTCTGCATCTTTGAAACCACGCAATGCTGCGCAGCAAGCGAAAAGGCTGCGCAGATGGCGAAGCTCCTGCAGCTGTTTGAGCAGCTCGCTCTGGCTTTGCACTCCGGTCCTGGGATGATCCAAAGACTAGGGCTCTTGATCTGGGTTGCTCGGAAATCGACTTCCAAGCGGCAGCTGCTTCAGCGCATCGACTTCGGATCGGAGTTCCATTTGGCTGCCCTCTTTGTCGATGACCACCTCCAGAGAAGCTGAAGGCTCCCTGTGCGTGTTTTCTTCCAGCCAGGATGCTCTTGATTTATACCGCACTGCATGTCAATGCCGAAAGAACAGTCACCAAAGACCCTACAGATCAGGCACGGTCCACCTCGGCAAGCTCGACTTTCGTAGCCTCTAGGTCCTCTGTCTGTCTGTGTCTGCATTTCTGTAGCTTTGTCTTGGTCTTTGTCTTGTGTATCTTCGACTTTCGCAGGGGTATGGGCAAGCCGGCCGGCGAAGTTGTTGCAGCGTCGGCAGCAGCAGGGCTGCAGTGCTGACGTGGTCGCACGACGTTCATGCCACGATAGTGAAGAGGGAAGAGAAAAAGGGAGAGAGAGAGAGAGAGAGACAGGGTGGGAGAGAGAGGGAGAGAGACAGAGTGGCACAAACGAGCGATTATGCGCAGGGCAACTGCAAGGTGACAACTAAGGATTTCACAGCAAATCTTGCTCATGTACAGTGGGTGGCTCTCTTTTGGATATGGTTGCCTTTGTTTGTAGTTTTGCGAAAGATCTTCTCGATGTTGACCAAACAGATGAAAGCGAAGCCGCCGAGCAAGCAAAGGCAAAGCAGCCGCAGAAGCGTCCCCGACTTCCTTTGCCAGTTTTCTGAGAACGTAACGCCAAATCCGACAGTGTGTTCTCAGACGGAGGCGCAGATGAGAAATCTATGCTGTGAAGATGCACACTCTGGGTAGTGGGGAACTCAACAGACCTTACTATGGTTCTGCCATTCCATTGCTATGTCAGTACTGTCAACCCAACCAGGCAAGACTCCTGCTCACGACTTTAAGATATCTGTGGCTCCTCTTGAAGGTGCTGGAGCTTGGAAACGATGGCGTCAAGTTGATGCTGCCTGTGAGTGAACAACTCGACTGAAAGTGGTGCACGGTGAGTGCCAACTTGACGGACAGTGGCTTTGCTACTTACCATGCAGTCCAGTCTTCTGAAAAGCCCGCTGGTTGCAGCCATGTGGACACTGCTGCGCGCAACTCCACGAGAGCCGTGGCGCCCACAGCTGCAGCCTCGACGGCTTGAGAAACTTCCGGATGGCTTGCGTCGGCGGGACACCGCAACCAAGCAAGCCAGGGCGAAGTGTACACGACCTTTAGCCTGAGCTGTTAGCCAGAAGCAACGGAGCGACATGGTAAGCCCTGAGCCTCACGTACCGCGGTGATTTCTCGGGCGTGCTGTTCTTGTCCTCGGAATCTCTCAAGCTTTGGCTTCACAGCATGCCGCAACATGAGCCTAACACCGACATCATTCAATCTGACGTGTCAGTACAGCTGGCAGCACTGTCGGGCAAGCAGCGCTCACCGTGGCGATTCAAACTCTCCGCCAGCCACTGGGCATAAGCGGAAAGGGCCTTGTCTGCGACTGAAGGCTCAGAAGACCGCGACATCAGCAGTAAACTAAGCATTAATTCGTTCACAGACAAGAAAGGAAAGTCAGTTCAGCACATTGGGATCTCTAGCAGATGGGACCTGCCCACAGCTTGCTTGGCCCACCTTGGCCCGCGGATGCTACCACGCACACCGCAACTAAAGTTGCCCGCCTTTTCTGCCATGTGCACTTGTTTTGGTCTCTGCTCAAGTGCCCTGACCACCCGAACCGACAGATCAAGTACCGTGCAAGAATCCGGGGGTTCATAGCCGTCTCGGGACCAGTTAGATTTCTCACAGGTCCGCGAATTCCATCGGGAGGTAGTCGCATCCCCCAAATATTAAACGGACCCCCCACCCGCCAGTAGACCATCGCAAAGGGTTTTGACTATTAGGGGATGGTCACGACCCTCACATTTCGGGGGTCTTGTTCGTGCTCTTGCTCCTGCTCTTGCTGTTGCTCACGGTCTTGCTCCTGAACACCCCTGATCCCAAACAAGTTCTACCAGGTGGGGGTGTGTCCAAGGTACAGCGGACTTGTATGCCGCAGTCAGCGCCCCTAATTAGCAGCATCCTTCTGCCCCCACGGCACTCAGCCCGAACGGCACTCAGCCTTTTGCCAGGACTGAAACGCATCGTGGGTTGACAGGATGCTTTCTTCGGCAGGAAATCCGGTCCTGGAAGAGCTTGGGTTTGCCATGTATCATGAACTATACTCCGTCGATCAACCAATACACTTGCAAAGTTTGCGGCTTCCTCGATGGAACGAGACCCCGCATTGCTACATCCAGGGATGCTTCGGAGCACAGCCCCAAATCCAGACCGGGTCGGTTCAATGGTTAACAATAGGTTCACCGGCCAAGCTGTGCTCTGCTTGTTGTTCAGATACCAACCAGATTGATCTACAACTTCCTAAACATCAATGCTCAGCTTTACGAATACAAAAGCCTGCGTAATCTACACGCAGCCACCGCTCGACTTCTGCGTCCTCACCCTGTGTCTCTTCACAAGCACTGGAAGTATGCGAAGTATGAACACCCTCGACCCGCACACATCAGAAACGGGAGACGCCCGGTAGCTGATGTCTGCGGAGGCAGGGGCCTGTCCTCCAGAATTGAAACACTTACAGCTGGGATGGCCATTCATGGAGGCATTCAGCTGCTGCTGCAATGCCTAGCACCATGCTTGAAGTCGAAAGACCTATGGCCAAAGAACCACAATTGACACAGACGTCCGAGCAGCTAGAATTCAGACTTCTTCAGACCGCGATGTTCACCCAATGGATCGGACCACAGCTACAGTAATGGATTTCGGCGAGAGCAGCATGCAGCGAAATCAGAAAACTTGTGCAACAGCAACTGCAGGGATTTGGGAGATCCGGGACGACCACGTCTTCACTTGGTGGGAGAAGTGCTTCTGCTAAAGAATAACTGAACAGTATGTATGATACAGCATGTCTTGAACCTCCGGATCAAAGCTCAACAAATTCCTGCGTAATTGCTTGACATGGCATTGGCCACAGCATGCCCAACATCCGGCAACTCCAAGTACAATACACCCCTTGCGTCGGATGTTACTGCTGCAGCAGCCGCTAGGCCTGGTGGACCTGCCTTGCAAGCCCTCGACACAGCTCAACTAAAAAACACCACGTCCACGGTCCGCGTCTCAACCTGCACGGACATTGCTGGTTCGTATGCAGGTGGGTCGAGGTAAGAGGTAGCCGCGTTTGGAATCGGACTGCGACTAGGCTTCAGAGACGAATATCTATCTTCCCAGGCTTGGGACTGGTCGAGGAAGTCCTTGTCACCAAAACGAAATCTTCAGCAGCATCAATGCCTGCCCGAAAGCCATTCGCCCCTGCAAAGGGGGGATGCTGCCGTTGACGGAACACCTGAAGCCAAGGTGCATGCCGGAAGGGATTCATTAATTCTTGCTTCTTCTATAGAGCATGTTCTTGGCTCGCTGTGGGGAGGTTGGGATCCTTGATGACTGCCTGAGCTACCCGCGCCCCAAGCCGGGCAGTCGAGCAGTTTGTCAAATCCCGACAACCTGCCTCCTCCTCCAGTAAGCCAGCAAGGACGGGGTTGAAGCGACGACAATTGGTGATGCAGCCCGTGGCCTGTCAGATGGGATTGTAGAAAAAGGCAACTACGAAGATGATGTTATTCTGATGCTCTCGGGCTGGTCGAGTGAGACATGCCAGAGCGCAATCACCTGACCTCATGCCGGCCCAACACCTGTGTTCAAGGCCTGCGACGCGCTCATTCGCAAAAGCGCTTTCAGCAAATTGCGCCTAGGCTGCTCTAGTCCAAACGTCGCAGATGTTACATGAAGCTGCTGGTTTGCTCGTGATCCGTGTGACAGATCCTGCACCAATGGCAATGACACCACTTCAAGCGGAAAGCTCGCAGAGTCGGCCAAAAACCTCAGGCAAAAAGCCTCAGCACCAAGAGCCAAGTGTCTGCTTGGTTGGTGGAATGCTCGGCGCGTCTTCAGGAAGCACACGACCTCGAGGTATCTCAGGCCGTGCGAAAGCAAACCTTGAACAAGAATTGATTGCTGAAGTTGCCTGCAAGACAGAATAAGGAGACGAACCAGCGACACCAGAACCCGAACAAGAACAAAACTTGTGAGAGCAACAACTATACCAATCAAAAACCTGGCCCAGCAGCAGCGACCGAGTACCAACTGCTCCATCTCAAAAACCTGGCCTTGGCATTGAGGCAAGCAAAACGTCGAAACTCTGTCTGGACGGTCTGAAGATTGGCGTGGACAAGTGTGGGCTTCTCGGACTTGAAGCTTTCGACCATGTCGGGGAGTTTTGATGCGCGAGAGTCGGCGCGTTAATCCACCGGCAGCAGAGCTGCGTGCATCAACGACGGTGCTGGTCACAGCGTGTCGCTCCGCTCAATCCTACGAAGTTTTTCTCTACAAGTGTCCGATGTCGGATCTGGCATTGGAATCAGCATGCATGCACTTACGACAACCGAAGCCTCACCGGAGCTCACTCTACTTCCACATGTTCGCAATGATCTTTGCCATGTGCATTTGCAGAGCTGATTCTTGGCAAGGCGGCTGGACCAGCCCTCCTGCGACTTGGCATCCAAAACCATCAACAAAGTCCTGATGGCTTGGGCAGATAGAGGGCTAAGCAGATACAGATACACGCATACATCCTAGCATGCATGCACGCATACATACCTGCATACATACAATGTACTAGTAGCAGAAGGAGCAGCAGTAGCAGTGGCAGTAGCAGTTGCAGCAGCGGTAGCAATAAAAGGAGCAGGAGCAGGAGCGGTAGTAGTAGTAGTAGTAGTAGTAGTAGTAGTAGTGGTAGTGGTAGTGGTAGTAGTAGTAGTAGTAGTAGGAGGCGACCCCCTGTACCAACCACCTCTGCTGCACACCCTCTTAGCAGCACATCCGTTTTACTCGGTATTTACGATACGTTCGTCGTGTCATACCACTTCTTGTTGTCGCCAAATCCACTCCGCGACTTTGATACACGCGGCTTCGGATTGGGGTGGGATGGGGGGCGGGTGGGGGGGGTGGGAGGGGGTGGGGGGGCTGCGGGGGGGTGGGGGGATGATGACGACATTGTTGCACAGACACCCCGAACAACATCAGTACTTCAAAACCAACCCTCTTACGCCGAGGTCTGGGCTTTAGGGGTGTTGGCGAGCTCCTCCCATGTACAGCTGGCATCTTTGTTTTTGATGTTTTGTAAGATGTTGCGCTTCAGGTTTAGGAGTGTTAAAGTTTTCTTGGCAGCACCTGCGTTTTGCACGGTATTTACAGCGTTTCGTACTATCCGACCACTTGTGCTTTAGCAGTTTCTTCCCGGTCGAGTTTGCAACTCCAACTGCTGTCGGGGTTTTTGGGCCTGAGCCTCTGCAACTTCACCGGCTGTCACACTTAAGTGAGCCTCTGCAACTTTTGCAGCTTTCACAGATAGGGCCCTGCATCTTCTGCAGCTGCCGCAGTTAGGGAGCCTAGAAGCTGCCATTGCCCAGCCCGGATGGCGCCAGTGGCTGGTAGGGGTGGGGGGTGGCCAGTAGTAGTAGTAGTAGTTGTTGTAGTAGTAGTAGTAGTAGCAGTAGTGGTAGTGGTAGTGGTAGGAGTAGGAGTAGGAGTAGTAGTAGTAGTAGTAGTAGTAGCAGTAGTAGTAGTAGTAGTAGTAGTAGTAGTAGTAGTTGTTGTTGTTGTTGTAGTCGTAGTTTAGTTGTTGTGGTTTTTGTTGGATAATATTGACAGTAATGGCAACAATAACACCAACAATAAGAGTAATAGCAAGCAGTAATGATAATGGTAGTCGCCGGTCGTCGTCGCGGTTGCTGTTGGGTGCCGGTTGCACTTATCATTGTAGTCGTAGTATGGGGAGGTGGGGAAGAATGCGAGAAGCATGTTGTTCACGTGTGGCATAGTACCAACAGACTCGCGAAGAGTAGTGAGGCCTTGCAGTCCACGGCGCCGGCCAAGCCCCAGACTGCCAGTAAACACAAGGCATGCTGCAGTCCACGCCGTGCCATGGAAGGCCTGTCTTAGGGAGCCCTGAGCCCCTGCTATCCTGACGGAAGCAGCTGCGGCAGCGGCTAGGAAGTGCCAAGGCAAAATCAGACCGATGGAGACACCGTGTCACGAATCGCCTAAATTGCCAACAAACGGGCCTTGCGAGGGCTTTGGGGCAGTCAGTGACTGAGGCAGTAGAGTGGATCAAGTAGTATCAACAAGCGTCAAGCCGATCGCTGCTATGGCCCAGGCAAATCGTGGCTCCAGCAGATGAGAGCGTCCACACGACGAGCTGAGTGAAATGGCCGGTGAGGATTCTTAGGGTGTCACTTAAGCAAGCAGCTGCAAGAAGCGTTCTATGCGAATCGTCGCTTGAAGCTCTGGCTGATTCAGGCGGGCTTCATTGCTTCATGCGCGTACATGACCACCTCTTTCAGCTCCCAAGGAGCTGGCCCATCGTACTGAGAAAGGCGGAGTCCACGAGGGCAACTTGGACGCTGCTGTGAAGGAGTGCCTAGACAAGAAACCCCACACTGCAGTGCGGAAGCCGAGCTTCGAGTCTTCAGATGCACTATAATATATATATATATATATCATCATATACTATGTTATAATCTACTATTCTTAAATATATATATATATATACATATATATATATATGTATATATATATATGCTAGCATGCATATCAGATTATCAGATGCTGGGCCGCCGGGCTGTTACATCCCTGAGTCGAAGCATGGGAGCCACGGCTCGGGCACGCAACCGAACCTCGGTAGGCCAGCTTCAAGCTGAAGGATGGTATACAAAGTAGCCCAATCCATTAACTCCATGTAACCAATATGGGGCTGAATAGCCAAATAAGGTTTCGGGAAACTGTATAGCATAATTCCGATTAGAAAATCAAACAATAATCGAGCATGTCCTAGCTAGAACAGTACAAGCTGTCAAAGTCACCTTTGAGAGACGTCCCAGTTGGACGGTCCGCTCGATAGATACATCGCAGTCTCTGTGATGGGACGTCTTCTAGGCTCTGCACTGCTTGCCAGAAGAAAGGGTCGGACAGCCCGTGCGTGGCTGCCCAATGCGCCTGGCTTCCAGAGGCAGCCGTGCGTCACTGCTGCAGGACTTTCTCAGCAGCAGGATCACGACTAGGTAGGGCATGCAGACACTTCTTGCGAATTCCGACGAACTGAATACCTTCTTGCCCAACTGCACGCCGTCGAGCTTGCAAGGATGCGGCGAAAATGCCTCGACATGCAGCACGCAACCGATATTTTTTGTCGGAACATGACTGCAGGAAGAAAGGGGTGCCGCACCGAAAATGCTTGCTGAGAAGCGGGCTTCGGCAGCCGCAACATCCTCCGAGCCAAGAGATGCCAACTGTGACGTTGGGCTCAAATTTTGCTGTGTCACTTCCAGAGAGAAAAGGAGAAGCTTGAAACCTTTCTGAAGAATCGAGGGTCCTGCTCGCGTTTGCAGCTCCCAGGAGCTAAATTCGGCAGCTCTCCAAGCTCGAAAGGGACTAAAACGTTGGTCCGACGGTCCCTGCGAAATTTTGTCGGGTCCTGTCTCCATGGTGCCAACTCGAGGGGCACGTGCCGGCCGACCTCATCGCCACGCAACAGTGTCACGTAGTGTCACAGCGAGTCCGCTGAGGTTGCTGACCGTGCAGCAGCGCTGCATGAAGTCTTGTGCCCACTTAGTGGAATGCCCTGAAATTTGATCGGAACAAGGACATACCGGCCCTGTAAAAGCAGCATGGCCGGGCAGGCGGTGCTGCACCGTTCGACCCCGCTTCACGGAATACCATGATTGACGCCACAAACAAACAAGATCTGGAAACTTGGAGCCCAACTCGAGTACTCCGCGAGCGGATCATGTGGCATGGCCATTGCGGGATAGGGTGCACACTATCGATCACTTTCGGATGGACTGGGCTGGGCTGCCGAGACTTGCGCACAGTGTCGGCAGATGTAGCTATCAAAAGAAAATATTCTCGCAGCTGGCTGCAAGATCGCCCTGACTGAATGATGCAGATTGTCCGGAAGTTGGGTGATTGGCTCCATGCCGTGACACTAAAGCCAGAACATTGGCAGGAGGCTTGGCAACAAGAGAAGCATGCCGGGATTAGACGAGATTGCTGTCAAACCTGTGGTCGTGGCACGACTTCTACATCTTCTGTAGTAAGTTCAGCAGCATCAGTCCAGGTGGACAGCTGGCTATAGCTGGCTCTTTTTGTCACTCGATCGTCTTTCTCGATGCCGTCCTGCTGCTTCATTGCGAGGCGTGTGCCTTGGAGGTACAATGACGAGAGAACTCCAGCGGCACTGGTTCGTTCTGAGGCTTTGAGATGTTTGGGACTGCGACCAGCCGAGATAGTGCTCCGTTTTGGCCACACGATGCTGAGACGAGTCGGTCCTGCAGAGTTTGTCTCTGCACGGAACCGACAGCTAGGCTAGGACTAGGATCCTCAAGGAGACGACGGCCGAAGGCACTCAACTCTTGTGAGTGCATTTCATTAGTCCCCATGGTTCGTTTCTAGGCTGTTAGCTGAAGGTTCATCAGACCAGCAAGCTTCAGCAACAAACTGTTCAACTCGTTGTCTTCGTTACGGGTTATCCGTTCGAAGAAAATGATCGAGCTCGCGAGCTTTGGCTCATCGAATCCGCCAATCACTGACCGAGCTGCCTTCCCGGTGATGAGGTGCTCACAGACGGCAGAGAGGATAGCGAAGTAATTGCTGCGCAAATCTACACCATCAGCCTCATAGTTCAGGTATGCCTTGCCCTCCTGATCAGACCTGATCGCATACTTGCGGTTCGTGCTACTCCCATGCTCGATGTTGTTCTTCATGTATGGCGGAGACGGAATTACAAACCACATCCAGCAGGAGGACTTTCGGCCAGCCTGGATCTCTTGCAAGGCCCGGCTAAAGGTCCCGTTCTCACTCTGCGCGTCGACGAAGCGGTAGAGGTTAAAAGGGTCGCCACTCCGCCGCGGCGCGCTCTGCGACCGCGCCCGTGCTTTGGGCTTGGGCCCGGCCAGTGGCGAGTCTGGTGAGTTGTGCGTTTGGGGTGAGGGTGACCTCGACGGCTGGAAGCGCAGGCTCTTCATGCCGCGCTTCGAAGGTGCAGGTGGAGAAGTTTCTGTCGCCAGTCCAAAGGTCGGGTTGCTGTGGCGGCGCTCCGTGCCCACAGGCTTTGCAGAGGCTGTGGGGCTGGTCTGTCGGCAACCTTTGACTGCAGCTCCTGGTGGGCTTCTGGCAGTGTCCCTGTTGACACTGCGTGGGCCCACTAAAGATGGATCTGCTGGTAAAGCAATGGACGGGTTGCTGTGGCGACGCTCACCCACAGGCCGTGTGCTACTCGGGCTGACCTGCCGGCACCCTTTGACCGCGCCTCTTGGCGGGCTCTTGGCAGTATCCCTGTTCGCACTGCGAAGGCCCACGGGAGAAGTCGGATCTGTCGGCAGGTTGAAGGTCGGATTGCTGTTGCGGCGTTCTGTGCCAACGGGCTTTACGCAGGCAGTGGGGCTGGCCTGATGGCATCCTTTCGCTGAACGAGGTGGGCTTTTTCTGGCAGGGTCCACACACTTTGGGCTGGGGCTCATCTGGCCCAAAAGCGCCTGGGCGGGCGCGGTGACGTGCCGCCGATTTGCCCGACGTGCCACAACACTCGGAGCATGGCTCAAAGGAAGCAGTTTTCGGCTCGGTGTGGGAACGCTCTCCAGGACGGGCTGCGTCTCCTTCGAGTCAGCGTTGGAGGCGTCCATGTCCACTGTAACTTTGGTAAACCTCTCAAACAAAGGTTCGAACCTTGCAGTGGTAATCACCACATCAGCCATGCTTGAGCCAGCTCAGGCTGTGAAGACGGCCCTGCACTTGTCGCTTCTCTCTTTGGTCTGAATCTGGCTGTTCATGGCAAGCCCTCAAGAAGACAGAGCCCGGGCTATCCTCATAATATCAATATTCACCATATAATGATGATTAGTAAAAACATTAGTAATAGTAGGACTACCAATAAAAATAATCATAATCACCATCATCATCATCATAGCAAAGCTAATACCAACAATCTAATAACAATACTGATAACCAATACGAATACTAATACTTAAACTAAGACTAGACAACTACTAATACTACTGGTACTAACACTCTTACCAATACTCACACTATTACTACAAGTAAAACGAATACGAATACCAATACCAATATCGACTAATAGCAACTTAGAGTGATAATGATTACATGGTGACGATATTCAAGTATGTGCATCCTTAGATACCTACACAGATATTTCATACTACATCCGTTTCGGGCCCGGGCCGCCAAGCCCATGTTAAATAAGCGGATCCCCCTCCGCCCCCCCCGCCCCTCCACCCCTCCAACCTCACCCCTCCACCCCCCTTCCCCCTCCACCATCCTCCACCCCTCCACCCCTCCAACCTCACCCCTCGCCAGCTTGGGTTGAGTGTTGGTTTTTGCTTGGAGTCAGGGTTCTTTGCGTGTGAAAGGTCGCAGTGGTTGGCTCGGGTGGCTTCGCCATTCGGTTCCGTGACTCGGGGGCTGCCGATTAGATTTATCAGGCCAGGCCGAATGCTTTCGAGGGTTTCTTGTTCAGGGGCTCTTCTTTGAAAGTTGTTCATGGGGTGGAGGGGTGGAGGGGTTGGGAGGGGTGGGAGAGGGCGAGGCGTGGAGGGGTGGGGTGGAGGTGCGGCGAGGGGGTGGAGGTGGAGGCGTGCAGGCGTGGTGGAGGGTACGGCGGAGGGGTGTGGAGGGTGGAGGGGTGCAGCTTATTTTCTGAACATACGTTTTTAAACAGCACTTTTACACTACCTCTGTGGCTCCGGGGGCTTGGCCGCCCTCCACTTATTTAAGAAACGTCACCGTACTTGTAATGATGATAGTGACGACGATATTCGCCTGGCCTGGCCATGGCCTTGGCTGAGGCCTCGGGCAGAGCTCCTGGAGGCGAAGCTCGGAATAGCCCACCAGGCAAGGGCGCAGGTGGCAGCCGCGAAGCCTCGCAAGTTCTGTGCGCCACTGAGATCGGTGGTTCTGATCAGAGTCGATGCTTTGGGAATGCCGGGGCTTGGGGGAGATACAGTGTCCGAGACACAACGCAGTAGCTGCAAATCAAACTGCCATTAACATTTTTTGGTGGCGAGCTTGTCTGGAAAAGCTGGTCGGCGATTCTTGCCGACAAGCTTGACGTGTGGCTTGCCCGAGCATCATACTGCGATAACCTAACCGACCCAATACGAAGCGCTGCTATAGATGCTAGTAGCGGACCAACAAACACCGAAGCTCCAGGCCTGAGTTGTGTAGATGATTCAGAAGCACGTCCAGTCTTGTGTGGACACATGATGGTCAATTTAACTACGCGTCATGGGAAGCTTCAATCATTAGCCTATCTGCCTTCGTGAAAAACAGTTGTTGAGAGCTTTGTCTAAAGCCTCGAAACTGTCGGTCGAAGGACCTGCCGTTTCCCAACGAGTACGAGATCATTGCCACACTTCCTCTGGGGATTCTGGTAAGGCATACCTGCATACTGCACGTCTTGGGGAATGACAGTACCTAAATCAGCGAACTGGATCAGGAGCCTGTTTTACAGGCGTGCTCCCATTCAGCAAGCTAGGATACCAGCCACCAGCCCCAGCCTTGGCACGCGAGATGCAGGTTCTGTGCAGCATGCGCATGCACCGTCCGAAGCACTTCAAGGCATTGGAGCTGTAAGCCTTTCGACTGGAAACCTGATGGAAGTGAACACGCATAGTGCGGACAAGCAGCTGGGAGAGCTGGCTGGGTCTGCATCTTCTTTTCTTGACTCTGGTCGTTCGTGGACGTGATGTCAGCCGCTGGCCGTTCATCTGGGCTGGCCGTGGGCAGCACACGACGAAGCTGCCGGACTTTACCTGTGCAAGTGTTGGACTGCGTCCCAGTGAGGCCGTCCTCGTCGAATGTCAGCGCATACCAGAACTTTCCATGGCAGATGTGCTGAATCGTCCCCGGCTCATCCTTGAACTTGCAGCCTGGGCGGAAAGGAATCCACCCATCATCTCCCTGCACTTCCCAACTGGCTGCCACCACCGGTTTGCGCTCCTTGCCGGTATCCTTGCCCGTGTCGCGGCTCTCCTCCTTCTTGCCCTTGGGGGGACGGGCGTCCTGTTTCACCTTGAGCGCGGGCGATGTGCGCGCCGGGTTCGCAGGCCGTCCATCCCGGGCAGGGGAGCTCCCTCCTGCGTTCACTTCGTGAAGCTTCAGGACACCTGGGCTGGGGGCAGGCGGTCGACCATCAGACGTGCGCGTCTTCGATGGGGACTCGTTGGTCGACGGCCTTTCGAGGTGATTCCGAGACTTCGCCGGGGACTCACCATTCGAGGGCCGCTCCGTTTGATTGCGGGCTTTGGCTGGGGAATCCCCTGCGCGGCCTTGCCGCTCTGCTTGGCCACGAGGCTTTGTTGGGGACTCGCTTGTGGTCGACGGTCTCTCTTTGTGAACCTTGCAGGATGCCAGCATGGACACTGCGCTTGCAAGATGCAGAACCCACCCTCCAGATCTAAACATGGCCCCTAGGCCCTACTCGTTACGCAAATCCCGTCGGGCCCGGCCTTGAGAGCAGGGGATGTGCACGCCATGGCTCCAGGGAGCATGCGCCCTTCCTTCGAAACCGGCCAGCTGCTGGTGACTTCCTGGAATGCCTCGGCCGGAGGGTTCGGCGTGCGGCTGCGTGGAGGCGGGCTCACACTTCGGCATCTGAAAGAGCTCGGCCCAGCCGATTCCGTGCCGGTGCCATCGTGGCCCTGCTTCAGGAGCATTGCCTTGTTGGCTCGTGGCTCAATCAGGGGCCTCTTGTGCCGTCCCACATCAGCCGGGGCAGAGTAAATCACGTGATAAGCTGGGCACATGCGCCGGGCGGACAGGATGCGCCAAACCCCAAAGGATCTCTCGTCGTCTCCATCACTGATGTCGGGCACACAGGCAACAACAAACAGAGCAAAGAGTCGAGCCTTGTGGCCGTCCTCGTCATCTACTTCGGGCCCTGGGCCTTTGGAGGCGTAGGAGTGGGCTTTCTCAGCCAAGCCGCCAAGCCAGCTACCTTTCGTAAGGTGGCCACAGGATGGGTCGAGTCCATTCTCGGCGATCAGGGGCGCATACTCCCAACGAGTGCCGTGCAGCTTCATGAACTGCTTGTGCGTTTTCTGTGATCTGGCTTGCCGGTCGAGAGAATCCTGCTCCTCTGCACAGAACCTGCGCAACAAAGCCGGCTGCTCCACACGGCGCATCTCCACAATCTTGACGCGGTCAGGATTCATACTGTCATAGAAAATGTTCTCAATGCACTCGCACTCCTCTATGGAAAGCGGTCCACCTTCGTGCCTTGCAGCCTTCCAGAGTTCAAGTAGCTCAGCCAGCTGCTGTTTGCCATTCTGGCCCTTAGGCTCTGGAGATGGGGATGGTGTCCGGCTGCACACCTCGTCCACAGACTGATCATCTGATCCCACTGTCCGGCAGCTCGGAGAGCCACTGGGAGATCTGGAATCGGAGGCTTGTCGAGCGGCTTTCCCATCTCGACCTCGGGGAACCTCCAGCAGCCTCGCTGGCTTAGAATCCGGGGAAAGGCTCCCGACTTCCGGTGCCTCGGACTTTTCTTTCACCTCCGGCACTTCCTCGGGTCGCTCGAAGGTGCTGGTGGCCCAGGACATGCAAGCAACATCCGTGGCGGGGGCCGTGGCGGGGGCCGAGTGCTTCGCAACGTCGGGGCCTGAGCTCGGGCTCACCACCTCGCGGCTTGCCCTGGCGTCGCTCTTGGCAGGGCCTGGACCTGGAGGCGGGGAGGCCGGAGGGGCCGGAGGGATGGGGGCGGACGGCTTCACAAGTGTATCCAGCAAAGGTGCGCTTGCCCTCATCTTGCAGTCAAGTGCATTCTGGGCGCTGCCTTGCGGGTCTGGTGCTGGTCCGACACGGACTGGAGCGACCGGAGAGCCCGGCTTCACGGCCATCGTGTCGGGAGACGGCCTGACAGGAGCAGGAGATGTCTTGGTCTCTCTCCCAGGCGCAGAAACTTCCATCCATCGAGGCTTTTGGGGTTGTGGCGAGCCCGGACAATTGGGCACCGACCCTGGCATCATCATCGGAGAAACCTGTGGCACCTGTCCCTGCACACGCTGCATAAACATGGCTTGTAGGTTGGGCTGGAGCGGAGCCGGGGGACCCGGTTGGGTCCCTGGAGGCTGCGGAGCCCCGGGCGGGAGAACTTGCTTCACCTGCGACACCGGCAGGGCCGGCTGTGTGCTTGCGCTCCGCGGCGCAGCCGGGACGGCCGGGACGAAGACCCGGAGCTGGTCCATGGCTGCCAAAGCACACGTCTAACCGAGTCTAACCCGTCAACCCCGAACCACAAACTGCGGGTCCACATAAGGAAAAGACGTTCAGGACAGAAGCAAGCCTTCACCGGAGCAATTGCAGCACTGTGACTACAAAAAGGCCGGAATGCTGGCCGGCCGGGCCTGTCGCCATGGCATCGCTGTGAGGCGAATCGTCAGAAGAGGATATGGGCTAGTTCTCCAGATTAGGGTCCCTTTTGAGTCCTTGCTATCAGGGTGCCGTACACTACCCATATAGACACAGGAGTTGGTCTAACTAGCCGTAACTTCAACTTCGGTGCCCCCAGAGCCAGATCCTTGCAAATGAACCTTGCGTGCACGGGCAGGTAGCAGTACTGCAGGACATGCTTTACGAGATGTCTCCTGACTCCTGCAGCTTTCGTCGTTTTCGTTGGGATCCATAGGTTCGGAGCTGGTAGCATCATGCTTCTAGGAAGCACTACCAGTAACAAGATCTATCAGAAGGTAGAAAGCGTTGTGCTTTCCTCCAGGAAGTTCGCATGCTCTCGAACATCCTACGATTGTCCAAGCGCTGCGGTTTCAAACTTCAGGGACTTGCGTGCAATCTCTCTCGACACTTCTTCCGCTTACTCAGGTCAAGTGCCTGAGCAAGCGACTTTGCCGTGTCTAAAGTTCAAATTTGGACCCTTCAGGCTTTGGACTTCAGTGGCCGCATGAAGCGAGGAACGTTGCCGTTCGAGGCAGTCGTCGCTGCCGGAGCTCTCGGTGCACTTGGAGCGGCGGTTGCCTTATGCGCAGCCTCAGACACCTGTGGCCTTGTGGCTGCCGCTGGCTTGGATGTGCGGAGGGCGAACTTCTGAGCGCTCTTAACCGGGGCCCCTCCTGTGGCAGCAGCCGCCGCAGGATATCCAGCATTCACAGTGCGCCTAACCTGTCGGTTGGCTTGCGCTGCCATGGCAGCAGATTCCACAGGGGCTGCACCGACGTCGGCTGGTCCAGCTCCGTTTGCGGGTCGCCTTCGGATTCCGGTGCCTTCCCAAGCCGGGGCTGCCTCTCCTTTGCGCTGACGTTGGATGCGACGGACCTTGCCGGTGGTCAGGTTTGTCTGAGTGCCGTGGCCCTCATCCTCGAAGTGGCATTCGAAAGTGTACCGTCCGAGAGTGTAGCGCAGAGGCTCGTCCGTGTTGCCGTCGAAAGGCTCGTTTCCCGGCATCCATGGACTCCAGCCCTTCTCCAGCTCAATGAGCCACTGGTACTCACCTTCGTAGGACGCAGTGTTGTTGGTCGCGAGGTAGCAGCAGGTAGGCAAGTTGCTGTCAATTTTCGTAGCTTGCATGGGCTTGTCAGACATGTCCTGGGCAATGGTCTGAGGCTGCTGGACCTCCTCCTCACCCGAGGCAGGTGGCGCCTGGCCCTTTGCCACGAAGCACAGCGCACGGGCTTTGCCTGTGGAGAGGTTGGTGGAGGTGCCTTCGGTCTCGTTGTGGAAGTCGACCTGGAACTCCGTCTTGCCGAACATGTAGCGGAAAGGCTCGGTGGGTCCTTGAAATTTCTGCTCGCCCACCATCCAGGCACTCCAGCCCCGCTCCAACTTGATCAGCCACTCGCCTTCAACAGCCATGGCAGCCATCAGCAGATGCTACTCTTGGTGTGTACTGACTAAGACCTCGAGCCTGCGTAGGGCGCTTGCAGGGCGAAGACACAAATGCTGCCGCAAGCAAAAACAAGAGCAACCCATCGTGTCAGGAAGCCAGCAATGCTCTAAGACTCTAAGCCCGTCTGGCAACAGCAGGGATCATCCGCGGTTTCTCGACATGATGAAGGCTGAAGCACGAGTAAGGACTCGAAGTACGTGACAGTGCGAAGCATCGCTGTGATGCACCCCTCTCTGAACCTTGCGGTGGCATTTGTCCGGGCAGGTGCAGCAGCAGTGTGCAGGGAGTGGTGACGAATGGTGACGATAGCCAAGAATATAGCTCGTTCCGCTGAATGGCCCGAATGCTCAGTGCATAGTTGGCGTCGACCAACAGTGCTGGCACAAATTTCTGCGCCAGACTTAACCAGGGTCAGAAACCTGACTTTCCGCTCCGTGTGTCTGGTCAGGTCATCCTTCGGGATCGAAGAGCTCGAAGCCATTTTCACTCTCTGGAGAGGACGTTGCGTCGTTGCAGGATCGCTTCTTGCGCCAAGCAGAGTGTCAAGGCCTCAGTATAGACCGACACCCTCACTGACGCGCAGCCCCGTCACCTCTATTAGCTCGGCTTAACTTCCACCAAGCACAAGATGCACAAGCAGGCAGGTGGCGAATGAGTGTTCAGGTGCTTCGACTCCACGATCCCGCAGCAGGGCGACCATTGCTGCCAACACCTGGAGCTCTGAAAGAGTGGCAGGTGCAAATTCCATCGAATTCCTGCTCTTATTCATCGGAGCTATTTCGGATCACTCGATGAAAGCAGCCTCGGATCGCGGAGCCTCCGCATCTGGCAGGTAGCGCTTTCGAGCCAGCCTCGCAGGCTTAACAGATTTTTCTTGCGCATCCAGTCGGAGTTGACACCCTCATGCCGCTAATCAGCCAATTTGTGAGAACCCTGCTGGCTTAGTCATGCTCGGATACGACTGACTGTGCCACTGAACGACTGGGCGATAGCCTGCGCAGCAGGACATGGACATGGAGCGACCTAAAACTTAATGCCACTTCGGCGCCAAAGGCGGGTGTCGCGGTCATCTGGAGGAGGGCGCCATTGCTGCCGAACCGCATTATCTTTGAACACGGTGTCCAGAAAATGCAGCATCTCCTTTCCCAACAGGCTCTCAGGGATGATCAATGAATAAGAGGGTTCAGATTGCAGATGCTAGCCCGAATTTCCCTTACACCTAGAATCCTCTTTCTCAGGTGGTCTAAGTCTACGCTTGGCCCTTCTCATTCCCTAAAGGACGTGCTGTAAAGCCGAGCCTCAGCACAATCCATCTCACTTCTCAGCACCGGAATGGAAGCGACCCGCTTCGAGTGCTTTAAGTTGATCCGCATTGCTTTGCTGTTGCGGTGCCAGAAAGCACGCAGTTCTTCGCACAAAGATGCAGGCTTCTCTGGGAGCACCTGTTGGCAGTCAAAACCGGTCAAAGTGGCCTATGCAATCTGGAAAACACGCCGACAAGCCAGAACCGTCAGAGGATAGACTGTGGTCAAGAAGTTGAATTAGCCAGCCTGGGGTGCGGAATGCAGATATTCAAAAATTGCCAGGTGGCAACAGTACCACAGAGGTTACAACTCGCATCACAGGAGGGCACTCTTGACTTCGAGGGCCGCGCTTGAACCCTCAGGTGTCTAGTGCTCCCACTAGCCAGGCGAACACTCTTTTTGCTGAAAGACTCTAACATTATATTGCTAGTGGCAAAAGGCTCTTAGCAGCTATATTTGCCACCGCTGTGGCTCCTGACACCAATGACATCCCAAAGCTGCAGGAACTGCGCTTTCCCTCCAACGTCCATCACGTTCACTAAGGCTCCGAATACTGAAATTTGTGTACACGCAGTGTGCAGCATTCCTAAAGCTGCCCGATGAATCAAAGCCTCAATTCAGCACTAAAACGCAGTCGTCGCAAACTTTGGTACGAACACAGCAGGTCGTGTGAAGCCGGGGTAGGATGTCCGGTTGCACATGAGCCGCGTTGCCCACCGACATAGCTAGTACAGGCGTTTCCTTTGCGCGTGTGCTGCATGTTACTCGCGCATCCATCACCAGAGAGATTGTGCACACTAGCTGAAAAAACTGGTTCAGGTGCTTCATCCCTGTAGGAAACCTCCGGAACGCCGTGTTGGGTGGGATTAGAACTGATTCGACTTGCTCCCCGAGTAGCTGACAAACTAGCTCATTGAACCTAACAGAGATTTGTCAAGGTGTGCCCACACCTGCTGACGCCCGTGCATGAGGACATCGGTGTTATATTGTGCGATTCTGTGCGATTCAACGGATCTCTTCATTAGTGCCAATATGCTCGTGTTGTCAATGTTACTCGGATCCGCGAGCGGGAAGTTGCAGAAATATTCTGCATGGCTGTATGCTCGCCGATGTGTGGACTGCATCCCCATTTGGAACCATGGCGACTTGACACAGAGCGCCAGATCTTTTCCGTTGCCGTCCTGTGCTGGCATGATGGGATGACTGTTGAAATTATTAAAGATCGTATCTGGAAATAAAAGGCACTTAGGCGATCCTGCTGGTGTGAAAAGTAGCAAGTCTGGGCATGTCAAGCTCGGTTCGTGGAAGCACAGGCAAGACATGCCTTATCTTGGATTTGGCAAGAATCTGGGAAGAAAGCTATGCTAAGGAATCCAGGAAGAATAGTCAAGGCATCGAATCGAGTTCAGGTTCAGTGTTTATCGACTTGCCGCCGACATTCAACACTTCGCCAGCTGTCAGCAAATCTATCGGAATGGATGTAGTATGTCATCAGTGTGCCCTGTGTCGTGAAAGCTTCCTATCGCTGACGCTGCTGACGGCTCTAGGGAAACACTCCGGCCGATCAAGAGGAGGGACGGATAGGGACGGTACGGGCATGGCGTTACATTATGCGATTACAAGCATGAAAGAGCCGGGCCGCCTCGTAGCCCAGCCAGCCCAAGACTGCAAGCGCCAGGCCATCCTTCGCTTTCTCTACGCGCCAGCGTTTCAGAGCAGCGGGTTGCTTCCGGCCCTCCATGGCCTCGCAGGGTGCAGGACAAGCTCGATCTCGTCGCTGCAAACACAGTGGGTGGACTACGGAAGGTCCTGAAGCTCCAAACCGGTTCATGCCAGACGTCAGAAGCTACGCTCCGATCAAGGACTTTCAGCCTGACGACCTCTACTAAGGCATCAGGCAGCAGCCAAGTCAACATCTCAACTCTAGTCAGGTCAGATTTACTCAGGGGCTTCACACTTCACCTGGTCCCGAGCGAATATGTTGCTGTTGAGGTCGCTCTTGGTCGACGGGCGTTGCTTAGTGTGCATAGAGGACAAGACTCAAGACTCGTCGGAAGAAGATTAAACGGATAAAACAGTGTGCGGGATTCGAGCAAGATTGCCATGCAATCTTGCAATAATGGTCTCGCCGATTAGTTTACCTTTTCGACCAAGATTGCAACCAAGATTGCCAAGCAATCTTGTAATCTTGTCTCCAAAAGGTGAACTAGTCGGCGAGCAAGTGGGGCAAAGAGGGGGGCAAGATTGCCAAGCAATCTTGCAATCTTGGTTTCCAGAAGATGCTGGCCAAGATTGCCAAGACGATTCCACAAAATAGTTGTTCTCAATGGGATAACAGGACTGCTTTCAGACATTCTGGCTTAGCCTTCGGCCTCGAAGAACAGCAGGTCTCCGGGATTCGGGACGGCAGTGTCCAGAAGCGGTCTGGCAAGGAAGGCTGCGACGCACCAAGGATACAACTGCACATTCTCGACTTTGTTCGCATGGAAAAAAATGGCCAAAGACCTCACAGTTGGGAAAGGAGGCAGCTCTGGCAGGTAGCCAAGCTCTTTGAGAGCCTCCCCGACCTCTTGGAAGACTTCCTGGGCCCTCTCCTCCTCGTACTCTCGTTGAAACCGGGCTTCAAAGGCCTCCTTGAAGCCGGGGTTGCTGGGAGGAACTCGAAATCGGCAGGACTCCACGCCGGAGAGGGCGCAACGCTTCTCATCGCTCGTGTAGGGCACGAGAGCCACGGAGCGGATCCCACGATTCTTCAGCTGCAGGTGATAATCCAGAAAGTCGGAATCCGTGGAGGCGATGGCGATGCAGCTGTCAGGACTTGCTGTGGCAATTGAATTCGCCACCTCCATAATGGCAGCATCGTTAGGGTCGGGTAGGTCTGTGGTGTTCTTCCGCTCGACTTCCTGGAATTGAATTCCATGCTGTGCCAAGTGTGATTTCCATGAGCTTGCCAAATGCGGAGCTCCGAAGCAAACCGCCACTTTAGGCCTTGCGGAGGACACAGTCAGAGGTGTTCAGAGGTGCTTGAATGTTGTTTGTGTCTTCAAAGCTGGTTCAAAGGTCTCCGGCACTTAACAATAGCTCAACAGGGTGAAAGAAAAAATTGTCAAGTCATGGCTTAGGCATGCTGGCCTTTCGCCGGACATCGTCTGCACTGCCAGCAACACAGATTCAAACCACTGAGGTCCGATTTGATCTCCGTCAATCAGCAGCGCGACCTTCTCCGTGCGCCGTGCTGTCCCTCTCTGAGATGCGCAGAGCTCGGTGCGACCTGGCCTCCCAAGCTGCAGACTTCGCAAGAGGGCTCCGGGGGCCTGGCCCTGCCCCTTGTGATGGACCAAGAAGGCCACAGCAGCTGCTGCTAAGGCTGAGCCAGCTTTGCGAGGCTTGCCATGGAGAGCGACCATTGGTGCATGAAGGGCATCTGAGGAAGCTGCAAGTGCAGCACTGAGCCAGAATTTCACATGGGACAAATCGGTGCTCAAGGCCATCTCGTGGCAACCGACGTGGCTGAGCAATCCGAAGCAAATCTTCAACATGTCCTCTCTGCAGCGCATCGTCCTGTCAGAATCGATCTCTCGCGGAAAATGAGGTACTGGAGCCACGAGCTTGCACTTGCGCACAAGGACTCCTACGACATAGTTGCACTACTCAGCTAGATTTTCCAGCGAGCAGTAGAAAGAAGCATTAACCTGTGTGGCAGTGCCAACTCCCTGTGTCGCTCTGACTGTTGTTGACCGGCGAGTTCAACTCATACGGGCTCAAGGAAGGCAACAGTCAGAGGAGACAGGACTGGGACGAGGCTCAAGCTCCAAATTAGCTTGGGGCCCAAGACCTGTTCAGGCCACGGGCCAATTTCATGAAACGTTTGCGATGCCCCTTTGCCCAAAGAGCCATTAACCCGAGAAGTGGAAGGAGACATGCGCTGCGTCGGCACGGGTGGCCGTTCTGCAGCCCGGGCGGATGTCTTGTACGGCCTCCATTCCTGTCTCTGCCTGTTCGGCTTGGCCATGAGAGGAGCGCGCAGTGCCGGGTTCCTAGGCTCCTGGTCTCGCCTGAACCCTCTCGCTTGGAGGTCCTCCGCAAAGTCGTCTTGCCGATCGGATGTCCGAGTGTATCTTGTCTGGCCTTGCTCACGGACGCATACGGACGCCTCTACTCCTTCGCTGCATCACCTGTTGTCTGGGCCGCTTTCAACCAGAGGCTGCTGGCCTGCGAGGATTCTCACATGCTCGGCATGCAACTGATGTGTGGATGAAGCATGCATCCTGACACGGAGTGCGACACTGAATGCAACAGCTTTTCTGTCGAAGTGATGAACGTGACATGACCCTGTCTCCTAGGCCCTAGGCTGAGATGTAAAGGCAGAAGTGTCGTTGCACAGACGATCCGCCTTGCTTCGGCTCGCGATGAGGCTGGCTGCCTTTGACCCCGAAGGTGAGGACGACTGCGGTGACTCGGCCCCGGCCTCTGTCTTGGCCTTTCCCGCCGCAGCTGCCTTGAGGCGCTGCAGTGCCTTCAAGCCCGCACTGACGTCCCGCGAAGGGCTGCCTGGATCTGCTTGCGCCTGCTGCGCCCCCTGTGGAAGTCGTTCTATGGCCTCGCCAGCCAAAGAGGCCCGGGCACGCCGCAAAGCAGCCACGGTAGAACCCAAGGTGGCGGGCTCACCGGCTGTTGCGACTAGAGAGGCGCGGGGAGCAGAGGTGGGCTGTGGCTGTACGTGCTGTACGTGCTGTACGGGCTGTGGGGGCTGTAGCTGCCTGAGCCTCTCAGCTTCCTGCTTGGCTTCCGAGAGCTCTGCATGGCACTTGCTGTACTCGGAGTTCAGCTCTTTGTAAGACTTGTCCAGTGACTCTGCAAGTTCCTGGGCCATTGACTGACCTTTCCTCGTGGACTCCAGGTCCGTCAGTGATGAGGTCAACTCTTCGGCTTTCAACTGCAACTCCTCCGCCAGCCTCTCTGCCTTATGGGCGTCAGCTTCCAGGGCGTAGCATCGTGTCTGCCACTCTTCCACCTCTGCATGTCCTCGGAAAGAACTCATGTACAAGATGATGCGAAGTCGCGAAATTGACAAGTGAATGAAAGGGCTTTGTGCGCACAGGGCAATGACAAGGAGTCGATGACGACTCTTCCCGTGATCATAACTTTACAAGGATGCATGCACAGACACAACCAGCCACGGAGTTAAGACCAGGGCGAGTTGTTGCTTCTTCCCAGCGGCCTTGCTCCTGCTCAGGGGTCGGTGCACACCAAGAAGCTGCGCAACGTTCTTAACGAATGCACCAACCCATGTTCTGCGGGCTGCTTTCGAGGTTCGCAAACATTCCTCAGAAGCGTGGCAACATATTATATGACAACCAGAAATGTCCTCTGCTTGCGCACATTTGAGTCTGAGCGCCTCGTTCTCCTGAAACGATGCTGTGAGCATGCTCAAGTTCATGCATGTCCAATCACGCAGCCCCTCTAAAGCCATGGTCAACTTTGACCCTCAAGCGTTGAGGCTGCTTCTTGACAGTGGCAGACAGACAGTGCACAGTTCGGAACCGGACCAAATCATACTATCGCGACGCAGCCCTGTCCCACACAGGTCCACTTGCAGGATGCACAAACAGACGCCAGCCCGAGCGAGCCACATCAGAAGATCTCCCACTTGGCCCAAGGCTAGCGCTAGACGAGATGCAGACTGAAATCGTGCGACGAATAATCCTTGTCATCCCATGTCATCCCACGTAGAAACAGAGAACATAGGAGACCCAGGAAGAGAACGATAGAAATCCATCCAAAGTCGAGGCGGTACATGTAGCAGCAGTAGCAGTCGTATGCAGTAGAATATAAGGTATTACAGCAGCTCGCTGTGCCCCAGTTTGGACTTGTCCTTGCTACGCCTCAGGCAATGTTTGTTTTGGTCCAATCTTCGGCTTGCGTGAGTATATTTTCAGGGTTTGGGGCTGGGGGGGTCTAGTGAAAGACTTACGTGGGACTCGAATCTGCGAGGGGTCGTTCAAAGATGTTCAAAGTGTGATCTCGTTAGCTGCTGCTCGTACCTTAAGGATGCTGAAAACTCCTGAAAGAGAACACCAACGCAAACCCAAAAAACGACTCCGGTCGCCCAACCGATGTCCTGCTCCAGAGCTCGAAGCTTCTCCGTAGCCTCCAAGCTCTCTGCGTCAGGACTCGCCTCCGGAATGAAGCCTGGAGCTTTGCAATCAAAGGCATTAGGAGGGCTCTGACCACAGAACCCTGAACAACTGGGTTTAGGGTTTAGGGTTTAGGGGTTTAGGGTTTAGGGTTTAGGATTTAGGGGTTTAGGGTTTAGGGTTTAGGGGTTTAGGGTTTAGGAACTCTAAAGCCTAAGGCCCTAGAGTGAAGATTGGCGGCCTTCCTCAGAGCTGCGTGGAGCGATCATCTCCAAGAGCTCCGCCTTCTCCTCTGTCCTGAGCGCATCAAAGATCATAGATCCAATACTGTTATTCTTATTCTGAGGGTTTAGGGTTTAGGGTTTATCTATACTATATGACAATAACTGACAAGTATCAATAGCAACAATAACAACCGTAAGACTAATAAGTCTAGTAAAATAATATAGCATAGTGAATCCGATGCGCTCCGTCTGGCGTGGGCCAGCCTAGGCCTGGCTTGCGTTCCCCCCCCCCCCCAATTACAACTCGGAAAGTTTTTATGAATAGGGGGGTACTGGTATCTCCACTGAAGCTTCAGAGGGTGGTGCTCTTGCTCCCGCGAGGGCATTTGCTCCTGCTTCTGCTGTGTCTCGCGCGCCTGCTCCTGCTCTAGCTGTTGCTCCCGCTTTTTCTCCTGCTCTTGCTCTTACGCCCGCTCTTGCTTTTGCTTTGCTCTTGCTGCTGCTCTTGCTCTTGCTGTTGGCCTTGCTCCTACTGTTCCCCCTCGAAACCCTCCCCCCTAATTCAGAATAGGTCGTTGAGCACAGGGATGATTTCGGGAGGATTCGCCCCAATCATCCCCAATATGTGTTTATTACTAGAGGACATGAGGGGGTGTTTAATAATAAAAGGGTTAAGTGATTAAGCACTGCCTGGCTGAATGAGTGGCTGCTTGAAGCACCCGAAGCCCTAAATAAAGGGCATACATGAAGCTGGTATCATGTTTCCAGCTTGGCCGAGACCCCTTAGAGCTTCATGGGCCACATCCTAAACCAACCTGATCGCTCCAGCGCAACCAGGTTTCAAGATCTGGCATTGCTGCGACAACTCCGCCTCAACCTTGTAGAGACGTGATGCTGTTTCACCTGCTTCGGCCGCTGCCATTGACCTTTAGTGGGAATCGCTCCCGCATTTTCAGCACATGCACGCAGTGATCCTGACGGAAATTGACCGACCAGAACTTCCCCTTCCGCTCTGAGGCCATCATGCCTTGGAGGCGTAATATCTGGGCCACGGGCATGCTTTCGCAGGCACTCTCCTTCGATGGAGCACATGTCTTCACATCAGTGCTAGAGGCCGGCAAAGACCACACACGATCTTATCTGCCGGTCTACGACCAATGCATCGCCGAGGCACACGAGCATAAAATCGTGCATCACTACCAGGAACACGTGTGCAATTACATGAGCTTCTGGAAAAATGGCGACAAATTTCAAATTTGACCTTCGGAACTTTGAGGCCGCCGAGGGGCCATTTCTTGGCACCGCTGCTCTTCGGCAAGAAGCTTCTGAAGCTCAGCGCCGCTCCCACTCTCGGCATCACGTGCATCTTGGCTCTCCTGGCCGGGAGAGTGCAAGAGTGCTGCTGGGTGGCTTTGCTGTTACATTGTGGCTCTTGTGACTTCTAGTACCTGCCGGACGGCCCGCCAGGCGTCTGCCAGTGACATCTCCAAAGCCTGTGCCAGTTCTGCATGCGACAAATGCGACAAACCCAAGGCAAGAACCAATGCATCCTTTCTCGTCGGAAGAGTTTCCGAATCGTCGAGGCTCGGTGAAAATGGTGAAATTCCAGGTCTGCTCCAGCCAGCAGCCACAGCAACTGATGCTGCAAGTCCACCAGCCGAGGCAGGCTTTTGCAGGAACGTCCGTCGCTGTGCCCGACCCTTTAGTGGGCACTTAGCTTTCATGCCGAGCGGAGTCGAACCTTAAGGCCAGTCTTCTTGTACAGAAGGCAGCGGCTGGAAGCTGCTTGCGCCCGCGCAAGTGGCGGCTGTACAAGAACCAGAGGGCGGGTAGGCCGTGCAAATCCAGGATTGTCAAATGTCTGAATTACTGTAGAAGCCCAAAAAGTTGGAAACCCAATAGCCTCAATCCTTAAGAGCAATGTATAAGGAATCGCAGCACTAATTGTCCCTAATCCGGTTTCCAACTTTTTGGGGTTTGCTCTACTCACACCATGGGCTAGACATACAGTGTGACATGCAGGGTCTCTGTGAGAGCGAAAGAGGAACCCTGCCATGGCTGCAGCGCTTCGGCTCCTAATCAGATTCCGAGGACCACGAGTTGCGTGATTGGAAGGTCTTAGCACGTCTGTTGGATCTCTCCCGGATGATCGCGAACTCATCCTCGGTGCTGTCGTCGTCGGCAACCTCGATGAAGGTGCGACGCACCACCGTCTTGTGCTGTGACGGCTTCTGCTGCCTGGATTTGATCTGGCTGGCCACCTCCACACGTCTATCGTCTGGAGCAAAACGTGGTTCAGCATCCATTGCAAGGCAAGGAGCACATGAGCCGCCGTTGGCTCGGCGATAGGCGCGCTTCTGCACCAGGAAGGCGTCAAGGAATTCCTCTCGGATGCGCTC